AGAGATGAATTCTTCGAAGGGTTGGAGGTAGTGCCCAAAATAATTTTGGTGTGTGACGACTGGGAAATCCGGTATTTGTCTGTCAAACGAGTATTGGAGCCTAATTCGTCCCTGTATATTTAGCGTGCGAATACCAGTCGACTGTCACCACTCGTCCACTACGTCTTTACAGCTTTCATTCCAACTTCTTTATTTCTTTCTACATTTCCCTCAGAGTGGGAGAGAGAGAGAAGGAGACCACCAAGTTTGCACCACCTGTCCACGACACTGCGATAGCACATTGCGAAATCGCTCACTTCATAAATCATTTACATTGTTTCCAGTTTTCGATTTTTAAGCGTTATCGTCTTACTTTTCAATGCAACAAGAATGATGACAGATAAGCTCAGTGAGGAATAAGGAAGGGAAAACGCGAGTGAACTCGTGGATTCTCTATGAAGAAGACATGTTGGAAATGAGAGAGTCCACTAATGGACGAATTGGCAAGCAAATATTAGATAAAAGAGTGAACCTTTAGCCGCGTTCGAATCTAGAGGAACTGGCAGATATATTTCTCCTCACCCAAGTTCTTAGCAGAGGGCTTCTCCCGCTTCATAGTTCCCACCTGAGATGTGGGAGTCCTCAGAAGATCTTCAGACTTCCATGGTGCGTTTAAGTTCACATTTCGACCAATTTCGTATATCTTTGCAGCACGAATTCTTGAGGAATACCATGTTTACATGATTGAGTGGAAGATTTCAAAGGACCTGTAAAGTCGTCACAATGTAGGATAGAATGGTGAATGAACTGAAGTGACTTTTTTCCGTTTTATTTTATACGACCCAGCTCACACATCTACTTTGCGCATCCCAGCATTTCCTACATTCCATTCGTTTCCTCTCATCCATCATCCACCAACGTATTCTGACTTCTACCTCGGACTTCGACTGCTGCTTGAGGATTCTGATTTTCCCGGGCAAGTCCGGTGCCAATTTCTCGAGTCCGGAGTGGTGAGAGGCTTGGCGAGTCCAATTAGGGATGAAGCCAGGACCGTGATCGTGATGATTAGCATCGTTTTCACTGTGTTATACACCCACTACTATAGTTACTGGTGGATGTTAATGAGAGAGAACATAGAAATCGTGATGGAGATCGTTTATGGAGTATATGGGTTTTTCTGCATGAAGTTGAAAAAAAAGCTGATCACAATCTTGCCACATAACCTTAGCACATAGATGTTTTTCGTTTTAGTGGTTCTGAATGGATAATTACCGAAATTGATATCGTCTTAGTAAGATCAAATTAAGAATGCCTATTCTGTGAATATTTCTAGATGGATTAAATAGTTACGGTGGGAAATCTGTTATGTTATGTGTTCGATAATCATCGAAATTGAACAAACTCGATCAAACCTTAACGAAATTGTGTGAGCAAGTGCTGAGAGTGATTCACACGATAACGTGAAACTGGAACGAGAAGGCTGACAACGTCTTGAGCTTCATCCGTTGCACAGGGCTTCACTGACTCGCCATATGGCGTAAGACTGGTTACATATTCCAGGAACGGCTGGTGATGTAGCTCCTGATTGTTCAGTTCACTTGTTTTTCCTTGTGTTTAACACTTTGGGCCAATGAGCTTTGATTTCTATTACTTCCATGTGCTGCTGTTTTCCTTGCCAAGCAAGCTTCTTCACTACGTTTTGTACCGTGTTGATGACGTCTCTTTAACACAGATCTTGTATCCCCATAGTCGGACAGAAGCTACTCTGCACAAGTAAGAGTTTACGAAAACAATAGAGATGAGTTTGTTCCTCTTTACAGGTTTGTAGCGATATCATTAGTAACATTACAGGGAGAGTACTACCAAGATTTATTTAAACCAGTGTCCACTTAGCCTTGCCTTGGATGGCCAATATATTTCCTTAGATTGTTCAGCTTACATTAGGTTATTACAAAATCTTTATTCGAGTGACGTTTTGGCCCCTTCGCCCAACTATATCACACGGGCGAACGGCCATGGGTAAACCGTGTCAGTCGTCGCGGTTCCGAAGAAGGCGAAGCGCCTAAACGTCAGCCGAAAGAAAATCCGTCTCATCCTCGTGTAAGCTGGGCAATGTAGAGAAATATCCTACAGAGACTATGTATTCTTTCACTGATAAGCAGCTAACACGAGATTGAGAAAAACTTTGTTTGGCTAGCGTTTAGACCCCTTCGTTTTCTTCAGAGACGGGCTGATCCGAGCTGATTGTCCACAGTTGTTATCGTGTCAGGCCGAATCCAATGGAGAGTAGTAAATTATCAATAAAGAATACATACTGATTACTCGTGCCGAGTTTGAAGGAAAGTCTCCTGCTGTAATTGTAGAGACTGTTAGTGGTAAGGTGACACCAAAGATTCTTCTGCTGTGTGACAATTTGGACCATGCGCATTGGCCTCAGTGGGCACCTGTATTTGAAGAGAAATAAGGCGCCCCATGCAGCAGTTGGTGTAGAGTGAACGTGAATACATTTCTGGACCTGTATGATCTGTAAAATAACTCTTATCCTTTTGTTTTCATAGTCCACTCCTTAAAGCAGTCTACAGTAATTATACTGTTGCTGATCTAAGGAAAGCTTACACTTTAGAGTAGTTGGTAATTGTTGCAAGTTCTTAAATCCCAAAACACCGATGAATTGAGGTCTGAAATGGTACATATTCAGGTGTGTGACATTTTCGGAAGTATAATACTATTTCCATATGCAGTAGAGTTTGCGCATACGAAATCAGGCCAAGGTGTTTCATGAGGTGGTTGCTATCTCACTAACAAAAGTGCTGATTGTGTGGTGTTTCTTGGGGTTTTGGGTTTCTTATTCCGTATTCATGTCGTGGCTGGGAGGTGTTCCAGGGTGTTGGGCTGCGATGTACAGCGCTTGGATTCATCCCACTCCATCCCGGCAGTCTCCCAGGCTGAGGAGTCCGGTATTTCAATTAGGAAACCTAGCTGAGAGTAAACCATTCCCAGAAGCCACCACCGTCCTGGTATCAAGCTAGTCGCATGGTGGTAAATCTCCCTCTGATCCTCAAGGGCGGCGACTGCCTGTGGTGGTGAAAACCTGGAGCAGACTTTGGTCTTGCTGACCTCAAAACTCCATAGGACCACAGTGGCTAAACCAGCAAAACTTCGAAACAGTGGGAATTATGCTGGGGCCCGCACAACTTGTGGAGAAGAGCCATCCAATTTAGTCCACATTCTGGGATTTGTGGAGTATGTCATCTCGTTGAACCGTACATTTTGGATTACAGACTAAACTTCATTTGATATCAGCAGTTCTCAGTGCTTTGCCACAGATCTTCAAAGTATTTTCACCATGTCTCTATTGTTTCTATGGTACCTTTACTCTTTATGGGTAACTATTTCAATAGCTTATCTTTTGTGCTTTAGATGTCATTGACGTTATCATTGTTTATTTATCACTCGGTCGACTACTGTCATCTCTTACTTTGAATACCGATCTTTATCGGTCCAATCGATATCGAGTTGCTGATTTCTTGGTGTTGATCATCTCATTTATTACATTTGCTCAATGGATCTGGACTTCTAAAACCTGGTTATGGTTTCAAATGGATTAACTAAGCCATAGTTGGCTGAGATGGTGGTCACTTATTTCAGTGTCATCCAGCTTTGGTAGAGTACTGCAGTTTGAAAGGTGCCGATCAGCACTAAGGTCCACTACGTGTGTGCTGCTTCAATACGTTCTCATTCTTTGTGAAACATCTTGTATTTTTTGGACTACTGTAATGTTAAGTTTTTCGGGGATCAGTCGATATTGTTTAACGTTCGTTGTTGTATAATTTTAGATCAACAGTTTTCCTTCAGATGGTGTACCGTTTCATGTCCATGACAATCCTATCCTATGGACTTCCATATTGTAAAACTTAGCTGTAATACAGTATAACATGCGTTTTTGACCTGTACGTTAGATTTTGAGATGTCGGTCAGAAATTTCGTCTGGTTTGCTTTCAAGAGTTCGAACTCGGTCGAGATGCAACAGAAAGAGATCGAAGCATAAATGAGGTTCGTAGCCGAGGAAGTGCTAACGAACACACACTGCAACGAGTGTTGAAAATTTCGTGGTGGAGAGTTCGACACTGAAGATGAGGGACGTTGCGGATATACTTTTGCCACTGACGACGATAAATCGAAGGCTCTTCTGTAGGCAAATACACTCACAGCTGTTTGAAAACTGGTAGAAGAACTCGATGTAAAGTTCTCAACTGTTTCGGAATGCCCAAAAAAGATTGTCAAGTCGACAAAGCGTGAGAAATGGATGCCATACGTGTTGGTAGGACTTCGCAGTAGCGACAAGCGGCCATAGCGCAGCAAATGCTGTAGCGCAATAAAATTTCGAAGAGCTGAATCATGAATCTCTGCCTCGTCCGACGTACTGGCCAGACCTGTTGCCTACGGACTACCACTTCTTCAACCATCTCAACAGCTTTGCTTCAGAAACCAAGCCGAGACTGAAACTGTCTTCAAGGGCTTTATCGCCTCCAAAGATCAAGAATTTCTTGCAGCTGGTATAAATGAACTTATTTCTGATAGGCAAAAATGAATAGATTTGTTGATCAGTGAAGTATATTTTGAGCTAAGATATTCCGCTTTAACAAACTGCATTTTCAAATCCTTCATTGGTTTCTAAACAACCTACTATATGTCGCAACAATGATGCAAAAGAAACCAAGGGTTTATTTCCTACAGAAAAGGATTTCACAATGTCAGTTGTGTCGTACTAAAAGAATTAAGAGGAAGGAAAAGGAAAGAATGAACCCGTTCGCAGGGCATTTATACGGAACATCATATTTGGCGCTGTTCGTCTTGTTTATTGACCTTAATACCTTGACCTTACCTTAATCGGTAAAGCCGCTTTCAGATACTGTCGTTGAATTCACAGCTGGTCGTGGATTACGGTTTTCGGCTTCACTACTCATCTACTTCACTAATCTCCTTAATGTACTAGATATTCGAAATACTCACTTGATGCCATGGACTATGCTTACAGGGTTCTTAAAAATATGAAGTATTTCTACAACACCATCAATCCAGCCACGCTTTCAGGTTTGTTGATGGAAAATTTTCACAAAATGTTTCAGAATGAGACTGTTGTTCTACTGGAGTTCTTCGTTTTTCTTTTGATATTCTCCTACCTATACACCTTATTTAGAAGGGTCTTTATCCTGTAGAGGTAAACATTTTCATGAACCCAAATGCTTGTGTTTAGGTGCGATTGATGTTATTGTGGTGGAACAACCTGACGGAGAACTGAAATCCACTCCTTTTCACGTTAGATTTGGGAAATATGGGGTTTTCAGCTATAGCAACAAGGTAATTCTTTTTGTTTTCTTTCTGCTTGACCTTCGTTTCCAGAATTTATATCTAGACGCGACTTCAATGGTAGTTCGTTCTATTACCGTGTCATGAAAAGTTAGAGGTGTCGACGTTGATCAATTTCTGAGTGATGCGCCGTGCATTCGACTTCACCAGCATCGTGAGATGCGATTGAGTGCATATCTTGCCGTTGCAATGACTCGCGGCGGGCTACCGATGTATTGAGCAAGCGCTGTTATTCTCCCAGACAAGTCTAGTACCAATCTGCAGACCCCGGAAAGATGAAAGGCTTGGTGAGCCTGGGGCACCGAGATGGATCCCATGTGTATTGTAGGGCGCCTCAGACCACTGTGCCACACGCGCTCCTATTACAATGCTATACGCTATTTAGAAAAGGATTCATTAGTAACTTTTTGTATAACTTTGGTTTCGCAATGTTTTATTTGTTTTAATGACTAAGTTCTTTGCGAAAAAAATGAAATTGCGGTAGAATATCCTAGACACTTGAATTTAAATAATTTGCTTTAGCTGTCCTAAAAGAGTAATGCATGGTTTGAATGCTATCCTAGGAAGTGTTCAAAGCAAGCTCCTCGGTGATATTTTTGCGTGTTTCAACAACCTTTATCACCCTCGGTCGTCGCACTGATGAATGAGAGGATGCTGAATGCTACTGCGATCGAGATCTCTGGTAATTTGAAACAATGTGCTTTCGAACCTAAATAAGTGCCGGCGTTCGGAAGCCAGTTAGAAGTCAGCGTCGTCCTGAACTGTTTTGAGTATGCGGTGGGATCTGCAAAACCTATGTTTCTGTGGTCATTAATGATATGTATATATATATATGAACATATATATATGTATATATATGTATACACATACATACATGCATTCATAAATGGATACTTGGATGGCCCGTCTTCACTGGTTGTGCATGCCGCAGCATAATCTCCATTTTTTTGGAATTTTGCCAGTTTAGCCATTGTGATTCCCCGGAGTCAGACTAGCGAAAGTCTGCCCCAGGTGCTCACACCCCGGGCATTCGCAGCCCTTGTGAATCACAGGGAGGTTGGCCACATGCGCTTAGTTTGGTACTAGGGCAGTGGTGGGTCATGGTGTTGCGTTACTCATAGCTGTGCTTCCTGATGGGAACGCCGGACTCGTTCTCAACTTGGGAGACCCTACCAGGAGGAAGAATCCCCCCGCTGTACATCGCAGTCTGACACCCAGAAACAGCTCTCATACACGATGAGGTGGTAAACCGTTGGGAGGACATATACATATTTAAATATGATTTGGATGTTAGTGTCTTCTAATAATAAGTTTTTTTCTCTAATGCGATATCTTTGAACCTTAAAGTTGTGCTTTTTTGATACGCGACTTTTGGGTGAATAGTGTTTTCCCATTTCAGTATGTTGATATCCAAGTCAATGGTGAAGAGATCGACCTGAAAATGAAGCTGGGTGAGAGTGGCGTCGCCTTTTTCGTTGAAGAAGCAGATAGTCATCAAGTTCCATCTTACATGCTGACATCACCATTGCCGGAGCCAGGAGGATCGCAACTGCAGTCTACTGATCAAGTGTGGAAGATCTTTATTTTGCTTTGTTAGGTTTTCATTTCTTACTGACACTTGACTTTTAAGGTGTTAACAGAAAGTGCAAAGATTCTGTGCGAAAATCCTACTGTAGGAAGTAATGAGCGAGTAAAGAAAACAGCAAGAGATGGTAGTCCTGAAGCAGTACGGATACCAGAATTCCAACAGCGTAACCAAGAGTTAGTACTATCACTATTTCGTGTTTTCGTCGAATACGTGAGGTTCCAGCTTCTCTAGAAAACTTAATTCTAGGCAATCATTATTAGAAGTTCAACAGAGGAAAAGGAACTTACCGTTCAATTCTTCAGTTTTCAGTGTCAGAAAGAATCGGTAATATATTTACAATAAGAATGTAGCACTTGTGTTTTTCACTGCTGTTCCTTCCCAGATCGTTGCCCGATTTGCACTCCATAGATGGTCAAGGCAGTGGTCATCATTCTGATCTTGAAGGAAAGATCACCAAATCAGCGTCAAAGTATGTTTTACAAGATTGCACTACTTCCTCCAACAGAAAATGGAAAGGATCAGAAGGTTGCTGATATAAAACTCTTCTTTTTACAGTTCGAAAAATTGTGGTATAACCGAACTGAGCAATGATTTACTTTCTGTATGTTTTCTTGACGCGCGTGTAGCGCAGTGGTCGGAGCCGCCATCCAATACACCTGAGATCGATCCCCGCTCCCCAGGGTCAGCATGCCTTCCATTCCTCCGGTGTCGGCAAATTGGTACCAGACTTGTTTAGGAGGATAGTACTGGCTCGATACATCAGCATGCCACCGCGAGTCATTGTAAAGGCGAGATATGTATTCAGTTACCTCCAAACGATGCCTAATGATGTCGAATGCATGACGCTTCCCTCAGGGATATATCAACGCTGACAGCTCTATCCTTTTTTTTATATCTGTTTTCTTACAGAATGTCCAACCGATCCCTACATCACTGGAAATCACAGGCATGCGATAGTACACTCAATCCTGATAAGCCTATAGAAAGTGTTCCAGTGCCTACCAGAGCTCCTCAAAGGCGGAAAAAAAATCGTACTGCGGTCCAAACAGCCAACGCTAAACCTGAGGTGTGTAGCTTTTATATGCACTTAGGACTCAGCTGTCGAGTCCGCTTTACTCTTTGTCAAAGTCGTCGACGTTTATTGCATATATGGTAGTCGTTTATAGGAGAGCCGATTTCGAATATTGTAAATCATATTTCCTTATAGCGGCTTTTTTTAAAGAATGAGTCGGATTCGGAAGAATCAACGTTTTCATCGAGTCCGGTACATTCATTACTCGATCCACGTGATGTCGACCGTATTGCGGACGGTGCTTTATCCGACTCAGAAGTGGATCGACACCGTAACACTCCAGAGCCTGTGGGTATCACATAACATCTGTTATAGCGATTGTTGGTCCTATCTAATTACGTGTCTTTCCTGTTTTGGTTTTTGCTTCACGATTGAGTATCATCACATCGTTTCACTCATTTCAACATTTTAGCATGCAAATGACGTCACTGACTGGAAATGGGGTCAGTTACCCGAAACAAGAGTGGATAAACTAAAGCAAGAACAAGGAAAGGCAGCGGCTGCGCTAAAACCGAAGGTTCTCACTTGTTTTTGCCTTCGGAATTCATTTTCTCGTTTAATTTTCCTATTCACAAGAAATTAGCAGTTTGTTTGATTCTTTTTACCTACATTACGTTCCTACAAGGCTCGTACATGAGGAAAATGTCCCTGTATTCGACCCGAAACATTTTAGGGTGAAACGTCGAGTTGGATATGGTTCCCTTGGGGAACTCGCTCATCGCCTGCACCGGCTGCGCCTGCTGTGGAAGAAGGCATTTCTCTTGATGAACTCTTCAGTCCTACTTCTGCATCTGATCCTTCGAAATTTGAAAAATATTTGGGAAAGGCTGGGAGTACAGCGTAAGTTCTTTTCCTATGTGTGCAATTTAAGGATTGAGATCACTCAAGTAGTGTTGTTAGTGTTTTTTAAGTTATCTTCGCATTATATCGTAAACGCGTGTTGCGCAGTGGTAGGAGGTGCCCTGCAGCACACCTATGGGGTTGATCCCGACGCCGAAGGCTTACCAAGCCTTCCATCCCTCCAGGGTCCGCAAATTGGTACCAAATTTCTCTGAGAGGGTAGCAGCACTCCCTCGACATATCGCTGGGCCACCACGAATTACTGTAAAGGCCAGATAAGCATTCAATCACTTCCAAACGGTGCTTAATGAAGTCGAATGCATGGCGCATCCCTCAGAAATTGAACAAAGTACCCACTTGTTTATCGTTTCATTTCAGTTGAAGTTTAGCACTAGAGATGGAGTTTGGTGGTATTGAAAAAGGTGTAGCATGTTGGATTTTATTAATGGGTTCATTTTTTGATGGATCTCTTATCTAGCGTAAGCATCGACAGCGGAACTGCATCACGTGCCACCTCCCAACCGTCTAGCTCGCCATGTCGTTCAGATGTCAACAATTTTGCAGATAAAGTATGCATTTTTGGTTCCGTCCATGACATTTTTCTCGTTCGTATGTGAGGCGTTTCCAGACTCCCACTCAAGAAGTCATACCTAGTATTAGCAATCCGACGGAACAACGTACACGTAATGCAAGTGACCAAAGAAGTGCTGTGAGTAGTGATGAGATTTTGTGAGTTATCCAGTCGAATGCTTCTTTTCCTCTTTTTATTCACTTGAATTTTTAAACCTTTTTTGAGAGTCTAGCCTTTATTTATTCTTCCTTATAACTGTAAATTTTTTTGCTTCGCAGTAAATGACTTGTTACAGCCCTTTGAGTGAAGATGAGCTTGAAGATGTTCGCCCCGCAAAAGAATCTAGTCGTTCATATATGTTATCACTTCGTCTTTCTTCTGAAAAACTTAGAAGTCTTGGTTTGGTGTATGGAGCAAATGAATGTCGGTTTAGCATCACTACTAAGTTTCAGGTCAGTATTCAGGTCTAAACGAAAGTTTGCGGCTTTTCCGTCCTTCCAAAATACTGGGTAGAAATTTGCTCGGTTTCATTCCACCAATTATAGGGAACATCATGGTGTAGTTGTAACATATACTTATACAAGTGGTACGAACGGATTGTGATCTCCGACATCGATGGAACTATAACTAAAAGTGATGTACTTGGCCACGTTATTCCAGCTATCGGTGGCACATGGGCACATGCTGGCGTAGCTGAGTTGTACACCAGAATAAAGAATAATGGGTTGGGTTTCACACTTTTAATAGATTAATTGGGTGGTACTTTCATAAAACTCCGTCATCGAGAGCTCTAGGTGATTTTATAGAAGTATGTTATATATATATATATATATATATATATATGTAGTATATACATGTATAATACATATATATGTATGTATATATGTAATATATATATATATATATATATAGGCCATCTAGGCCTACTTAATTCAGATATAAGATGGTGTATCTGTCTTCTCGTGCTATTGGGCAGAGTCACACAACGAAGCAGTACTTGAAGAGCATTGCTCAGGACAGCAAGCAACTTCCAGATGGTCCCGTATTGCTATCCCCGACCAGCGTCCTGGTTGCATTTAGAAGGTTTGTTTATAGCAGCAATCTTTAATGTTAATGTTTTTCCTTCCGCAGCGTTTAAAGAAGGCCTGATCGAATATCTTGACGGATCAAAATAAGACTGTGGGCGTTGATCAATTTCTGTGAGATGCACCATGCATTCGACTTCATTAAGCATCGTTTGGAGGTGATTGAATGCCTATCTGGCCTTCAATGATTCGCGGTGGCCTACCTATATGTCGGGCCAGTGCTGCTATCCTCTCAGACAAGTTTGGTACTAATTTGCAGACTCTGGAAGGATGGAAGACGTGGTAAGCCTTCGGCGCGGGGACCGATCCCATGTGTATTGCAGGGTGCCTCCGACCGCTGCGACTTTATTTTATTTTATTTCGGACCGTGAAGGAATGAGAAACAGTTATTGTCCAACAAACTACTTTTTTTGTTATAATTTCGTTAAACTACTTACTAAATGTTGGATGGTTGATGATGTTTTAGAGAAGTGATTGAAAGACGACCGGAAGAATTCAAAATCGCTGCATTATCCGATCTGAAGAAACTCTTCCCTGTGAAGCAACCATTTTTTGCAGGATTCGGCAATCGAGAAACTGTAGGACAAGAATGAGCATTAATGATTTCTTTTTCTGTAATGCACAGCAACTGTCGCTTGGATTGTTTTCCAACTTTTGATCATGTTTTCTTCTTGTTCTTCTTCCTTATTCTGAGACATTTTCCAGGATGTGACCACCTATCTTGCAGTGGGTATCATGCCTGCTCGGATTCTTATCATCGATCCGTCTGGTCGTGTACGTCGGTCGGATTCTGTCGGATACGTCAGCAATTATTCGTCAATGGCTACTGAGACGGTCGATTATCTGTTCCCACCACTTATGAAGATGTTAGTTTCTCTAAATGGTTTTTATTCATTAAGATTTTCTAGCTTTTTTGAAATATCTGTGGACACCTTCGAAATTAGATCCGAGCATTGTTTCCATTTGGCTGATAGAAAAGTAATACATCGTCTCACCCTTCTTCTAGAATTAACTGCGGTAGTTTTCAGCTTAACGACTAAAAACATTACCCACAGTCAACCAGTGAAAACGAACCGTTGTTCTGTTCTTTACTTCTCAAAATCGTTCATAAAATTGCTAAGGTTCATTGTTATTGTTGAATTGAAAAAAGCCCTCATGACCATTTCGCATTTTAAAAAAAAGGTCTGAAATTTCTGTATGATAGTTGACACTGTGACAAAACACAGTATCATCAAAACATTGAAGGCTGTCTGCCTTATACAGAAAGCATTCTTCTTTCTGTTTTTTTTATTGTCGTATTATTTTCTGTACGATACTTTTTCCTAACAAAATCGATAGCTTTCCTTTCATCGGTGCTCTTTCTCGAATGGTCCGAAAAAGACTGTTGTTTGCACATTCTTCACTTTGTAAAGTGAAATCCATGTTTGCAAAGACTGTATATTTCCGAGTAATCACAGCGTTTTCCTAATTTTTCAAACAAGAACAAATTCAACCACTTTTGCAACAAGTGTCTTTACAATATGCGGCGCCCGCTGAGGATCTATAGTTCCCATACTCCGATACTTGGATGGCCCGTCTTCACTAGTTGTGCGGCCCCATCACAATTCTCATTTTTTCGAAGCCTTGTTGGTCTAGCCATTGCGATTCCCTAGAGTCCCGAGGTCAGCCTGGCTGAAGTCTCCCCAGGTGGTCATCACCACAAGCAGTCGCTGGCGTTTGTGGACCAGAGGGAGATTCGCCAATATGCGACTAGTTTCATACCAGGATGGTAGTGGATCCTGGTAGTTGCTTACTCTTAGCTAGGTTTCCTGATTGGAACGCCGAAATCCTTCCTAGCTTGGGAGACCCTGCGGAGGAGGGGACGAATCCTCCGCTGTACATCGTGGCCCGACACCCAGGAAGACCTCCCAGCTACGATAAGGCGGTGAACCATTGGGAAGATAGTTCCCAAGTATGGTTTATAATTTCTACTTGGATTTTAGAGTTTCTGTATACCGTATATCACACCTTCAACGTACACTTCCTATGTAGAGTTCAAGTTTTTGGATAGATTTTTCTTGAACAGTGTCAGAACAATTTGAACGAGAAATGTTTGTTACATTGGGCGAACCTGGTGATAATTTGCTTGCTGTGCTATACAGTAAGTCTGGAATGTGCATATTTTGTTAGTTTCTTGTAAAAACCAGCACAACGTGTCGATCTTTTTGTCCACTGTTCTCTAGAGCACTATTAGTTTTTGGCAAAACCCTATTGGGACTTGAAGGATATGCTTAAGCACTCAGTGTCGTTTCTTCCTATTTTCCACGCACAGTCGTAGTAGATTGTCCAAGCTTTTCTTTTTCCTGGATGATGAACACACTTTCATGGTCCACTTATGTCTATAATCAGCTTCTGTTAGTTATAGCTCTTTATCGTTCCTGATTTTGGTAGCGGAATAGCGGTCACATTCATGCTCTGTGGAGAAAAGTATAATATCTAAGCTAGATTAGAAGAGAAGTGTAACTCTAGTTAGAACGGAAACGTGCATCAGAAAGTTGACATATTGACTTGAGATATCGACTACAAAGCGTGTTAAAGTTCTTGTGAATTGATGGTTTTGACTTGCATTCTAAGGTCGTATTCATAGACGTGAACCATGTGCACTTAGTGGAGATTTGTAGAAATCAATCTGCAGGCACTAAAATGTTGACGAATGTCAAACTTAATCAAAAAATCTTTCTTAGGAGAAAAAATTACAATGCATTACAAAGCAATTAATCTTTATTTAGTTCGAAAAGTCAATTCGTCAGCGATTTGAGAGTTGAACAACTTCAGCCTACATGGACAAGTCCGCTGGAGCACAGGTACGAACAAACTTATGTACTTGGATACTTTTGGATAGCCCGTCTTCACTAGTTGTACGAGCCTGGGCATGATGCCCACTTTTTGGAGCTTTGCTGGTTTAGCCATTGTGGTTCTCTGGAATCCCGAGGTCACTCGAACCAAAGTCTGCCCCAGGTCGTCACCACCATACGCAGTTGCAGCCCTTGTTGATCAGAGGGAGATTTATCACCAAGCGATTAATTTGATAACATGACGGTGGTGGATCTTGGTATTGGTTTAGTCTTAGCTGGGCTTCGTGATGGAAACGTCGGACTCCTCAGCGTGAGAGACCCTGCTCGAGGGATGAATCCCTCTGTTGTACATCGCACCTCGACACCTAGGAACACTTCCTAGCCACGATGAGGCGGTAAACCGTTCGGAGGGTACGAATAAAATCATATTTAATTTTTGCGTGTCCCATTTCAAATTCATGTGAATGCACAACTGTTAATATTTCAGTGCATTCACTTACTGGAAATCAGAAAAACAAGACTCAAATCTCACAGATACCGACATAGCCGCCTACGAAAAACAACGTGGAAAATCAGTCGAAAAGGGTTCTAAGAAGAAATGAGGATTGTACCTTAAAGGATCGGTGTAGATTTTCGAAATATAGCTAAATTACAATAATGTCAAGACGACATAGTATAGCCTTCGAAGTAGTGATCACGTAATCTTATTTCCATCTGACATTCAATGTTCTTCTGAATAGGATAATCCATTAATAATTTCGCCTTCTTTTACTACTGGTATTTGCTATGGGTTTGAGCTGCTATACCAGTTCGATTGATATATACTGTTTTTACACTTCGTATTGTAACTTTTTACTTGGATATTCCGTTTTTATTGTTGAAGTAGTGTCCCTGGTCTTTCATTAGATTTTTCACTTAAGTTTTCTGCCCAGAAGCAATCTTAAACGGACTCATTGTACTCACCCCTTTGGAGGTTGCTCACTGCTCAACTATCCTGTCTTCTCTACCATTTCCTGGGCATTGAAGTTCTTCAAGTATCGTTTACATCGCTTTCATTTCCTTTCTAGGATGTGGTGTAGCTCTTTTCTTTGGTTAGGAGATGTCTCGGGATGTGAAGTCTTAAAAGGGACATTCTAAACATCCGTTCCATGACTGGCCTTTGGTTTTTCGTTTCTCTTCCTGATTACTCAGTTATTATTTTCAGTGTTCAGTGTTGTAGTTCTTTGTAACTGTATTTTTTTTTTGTTAGAATTCTTATTGTACTGTTGTACTGACCGAGATGTTATTATTATGCATAAGTTCTCTTGTAGAGTTGTAATAGTACCGATGAAAGGCCTCGCCTACCGGTGCTTGTTTCACTTCCATAACCACTCAGTGAAATATCGTTATGAGTCAATATTTCCTTCTTCACAGGCAAAGGTTGTCAATGGCAAGATTTATTCAATATTAGTAGACTTTCCGAAGAGTTTCTTCCGAGCTTAGATGTACCAAGCTAACATGCAATCTTCGCCAGTTAAACACTTTCATGACCTACTTACTTGGATATTTGGACGGCCTGAGTTCACGGGTTGTGCCGGCACCAGCACGTTTTCCGTTCGTTTCTTTGCCTTGGAATCGTCCACGGTAATGGTTTGATTCTACGAGCATGGTGGCGGGTGGCAGCATTATTCCGTTATCTGTGAAACAAGTGCAGGTATCAGTAGAGGTGGTTGATTTTGGTTACAAATACCTTCGCCCAACGTATAGGTACTCGTTCTAGAGAGTGCTTGCATCATCTTGGAGTTCAGTGTGCCGTTCTTTTTGCTCACCTTACGTTTGTTGTTCTCATTATAGGTACATCCATCTGTTTCGCTATCGATGTGCGTTGGCCTAGATCTCGAAGACGGCATAATTTCGAGGATCAGAGCTTCGCATTCCGACAATATGTTGTGTGTGACGGTATATTTCAAAGGATATTGCTCAAGCGCTTTGTCAGTAGCACGCAGTATTCTTGACGTATTTGTGGTAATGGTACACGTCTACGCTGCATAACTGCTGTGTGGTCTGCCGAATCGAATAGGTGTATGACCGTGGCCACAGTTTGGATGTGGTTCATGCAGGGAAGTCCTTTTCGAGATCCTGCTTGCTCAGCTGGTTCATACAATGTCCTTGATATGCTTGACCGGATAATCTTCGTGAAAACTTGTAGAGTATACTCAACAAGCATATTGGACAATAGTTACGATGATCCCTTCGGTCACCTTTCCTAGACAGGATGAGTGTTCCATATCCTCCACTGGTTTGGAATTTTTTGTTTTCAAGGTAAGGTATTTATATGGTTCGCGAAAACTACATGTAAGTTGTGGCTCACAGCTCTAAGGAATTCGATTCTATTATCGGATCTTGGATAAAAGAGCATTGAAATCTACAACCCTTTTTCTGCGAGATGCAAGAAATCTACAACATATTGACTTTTACTTCAAAATCGTCTCCGCTATGCTTTTGTATCCTATGGGTGCCTAGTCGGATACTTTGTCTTTGTCTTAGTTTTCATTTGCCATCTAGGTGTCCTTTTATACGGATATACAAAGGTCTGCCCGTTTCGCCAATATATTCATCTCCGCAATCGCAATTTGTTGTTTCACATAGACGGTCATACAGGCGGTTACGAACTAGCTGACGACGTAGAGTAGCCGGTGGTATTTCAACTATCGCTACAGATTCCTATAGCTTTGCCCCTTTTAAGCATCGTTTAATAGCTACGCTTACTTCATAGCTAATAAAAGGCCACATAAACGGGACTTTCTTTTAGCCAAGTGTTTCGCTTGGGCTCGTAGCTCTCCTTCTAAACTTATCTCGTTAGGTTACTATTTCGTAGCCATTGGAGATGGCTGCTTGTTCAGCCAAGTCGAGCGATTCTTCCTTTAGTTCCCTTGTTGTGGACACAAAGATGGCTGTTCGAAACATGTTTCTCACAAGCGCCACCTTCGTGTGTGGGTGGGAAGAAAAAAATGAACAAGAATATTCTTGTTACTTGGCTTTCGATACCACTTTGTCATGTAACCGCTGTTTGATAGGTTTATTTGAACGTTTACAAACGGAAGCCAGTTTTTTCTCGGTTTCTCCAGAGTGAACATTATGTACTCTGACTGCTCGTTCAATAATTCAAAGCATTTGTCCATCTCCTGCGTAGAGAAGACGACAAAACAATCATCTACATATTTGCAGTAGAGTAGTGGACGGAGATCGAGAACAGGGGCTTCTATCTTGGACATAAATACAATGGCAAGGCTTGGTGCCAGTTGTTGTCCCATTGCCAACCCACTTATTTGTGCGAAGTATTTCCTAGACCATCTGAATAAGTAGGTATAGGGCGCAACATGTTGGTTTATCGATTTTAAAGTGCGAAATAACCGATAATTTTAAACCTGCAGTCTTTGCCACACTAACCGATTGATTTTTCTATTAATTTTCAGAGGTTGGGCGATAGAGGGTAGCATCACTAAGATGTTCTCCGTTATCTCAACATTCAACTGGCGAGGAATAACTACGAACTCTCCTACCTTATAATTAACAGACAATCTTATTATTTTCGAGTTTATTAATTCTCTAATTCTCGCATGCCACATTTTGTGCTGCTGTAAGGTTAGAGATAAACTTTCTATTGCGGTTGTGATTAAGGGTCTTGAGAACGCCGTCCGAAAACAGGCGGAATTTTATGTCAACTCCATCGTTAGGGTACTGCTGTCTAAAAAACGTTTTAGTGAAGGAGATGGTGGTAGTGTCACTGCCTCTTGCTTTTAGTGAGGGAGATGGTGGTAGTGTCACTGCCTCTTGCTTTTTATCTCTGTTCGATGTTACTTGTTTGGCGTGATAGCGGAGTCGATCCCGAAGCTCATAAAGGCGGCATGCTATCCTATGTATGGCAGTTTTGGAGAACAAAATATGAAGGTAAAATAGCGTTTAAAAAACGTGTTAAGTATTCTAACTGGAATGGATGAATGGCTGACCATTAGCTTATTTGATGATTACTTCTGCATCCACGTTTCAATGAATCTCACCGGAGTCTGACAGGAATGACGAATGTAGTTCCACATATCGCCGTAA